TGTAACAGTTTGACCTAATCAATTGATACGATAAAAGTAGATTACTGAATAACATACAAAATGCTAATTTATAATTCAAAAATTTGTTTACAAAAAAATAAACGCGATAAATACAGAATATATATAGCTTAGTACCGTTACCGACATGTCCATATGACAGAAATTCTCATGCAGCGTCTTAGGTGGAGAATCGATGAACTATTAGACGTGAAAAAATGACATGTTGACTACCCAATTTATTCTTGCGTGCCATTTCGTTAATATTCGTTAAATGTTAGTGCTGTGATATGTGACGTGTTCATGAAACCTGTAAAATTATCCGAAAACTAAGATTAGCAGGGAAAGCCCAACGTAGAAGGAGTATTTTCTACTCATACAGACAGCTGTCAACCGTGTGTTTTCTCGCATAATTAGGCTTCGCTTCACGGTTGATTTAACGATTGTTTATAACCTGTCAAGGAAAAAGCATAGTTTTCGGACAATTTTACAGGTGTCTTAAAGCGATCTAGAGTGTTACTTTGTTAAATTATCATTTTATTTAGAAATGGCACGCAAGAATTCTCGGCGTGTCATTTCTCGCTTCTGACGTCACGAATCTAATATGGCTGCGGTGACTACCCAGGAGCCTTAACGAATATTAACGAAATGGCACGCAAGAATAATAGCGTTTTCGATTATACAGGATTTGAACGACCCAGGGTTGATCAATCACTATTTTACTATAAATGCAAGTCTTTCATTGGTGGAGAGGTTGCAATGACGTCATTAACCAACCCTGGGTCGTTCAAATCCTGTATAATCAAAAACGCTATAAATTGGGTAGTCAACATGTCATTTTTTCACGTCTAATAGTTCATCGATTCTCCACCTAAGACGCTGCATGAGAATTTCTGTCATATGGACATGTCGGTAACGGTACTAAGCTATATATATTCTGTATTTATCGCGTTTATTTTTTTGTAAACAAATTTTTGAATTATAAATTAGCATTTTGTATGTTATTCAGTAATTTACTTTTATCGTATCAATTGATTAGGTCAAACTGTTACACTATTTACTTATACAATAAATCGACTAGGTAAATTCGACTAAATTTTTATTCCTACCACAATTTGATTAATTAAATTTTGAAAGAAAAATGTCACACTTTAACTTAAAAAATTTGCTTTATCTATACTTTTTAAAGCGTATTTCGACAGGCGCATTCAACTGTACATATTCAATAATTTTTTAATAATAATAATTTTTCTATTATATATGAACTTTTCCGCGCGCGTTAAATTTCTCTTCAGAAAAAATTGGCATAAATTTTGCCTACGGATATGTCGTTAATGGGAAAGCTAGAGCGCTGTACGTACATACGACAAAATTGATTTGATAGATACATGTGTCTACACTCCGATTTCGCCGGTAAGCTGCTTTCGCGGCGAAATCTGATTTCGCGTAAAGCGATAGTGTCCGCGCACGAAGCACTGATAATAAAGACAATGAAAGCGTTGTCAAGAAAATCTTGTTTTTTGTCAGCGACTCATAAAGTTTTAACATATGCTACAAATAAGACTAATAATAATAATAAATAATGACGGGCAGCTTGTGATTGAATAAACAAAAAAATTTGATTATCTATTTACATTCTTGTAGTTTAGTTCAATTTTTTCTCATTTCTGAATTTTCAGCAGAATTCTAAAGCTAAATTTTTTCATTTTATCGCAAGCTGCATATCGCGGTGGAATAGTCAGTGCACACAATTTTCCGCTTCATTATGTTTGCAATTGAAAAATATTAATAACGAGAAGGAAACATTACGGGAACAATGCAAAGTGTAGTAATATTCACAGAACAATCGGTAAAAGAAAAAAAAATCAACGCATGGTTTGCTAAACGGGCTCGGCGTAACGTAAAAGATTGTCGTGCAATGTGCAAAATGTGTTCCTCAGAAAAGAGTAATTTCGCGCCAAATTGATCGCCGTCGCCGGAGCCAAAGCAAATCTCCGTTGAACCGTCAACAAAGCGGCGGGCAAAGTACATTTCCCTCCTTTTGCTCGGAGCACTCGGTACTTTGATTGTCGCAGGCGTTCCTGTAAATTAGAACAGACTGCGCGCCTCGAGAAAAACGGCAAATTGCTCGCAGCATCGCTCACGTTTTGTATACAGGTCGATTAACCCTCGCAGGACCAAGTTCTGCATTGTAACATAGCAGACTAAAGCAACTTCAATTATCTTTAATCGGTCAAAATTACTTTTTTTTAATTTAAATGTAAATTTCTTTTTTTTATCAAGTTTATTTATTTTTCTTCTAAAATGTTATTTTGTTTTAATAATTATATATATAAGTTATAATAATTATATATTTATTTTACACTGTTAGATTATTTTTTATACAATTTGACTGCTGACTACATTGCATATACGATACCTGCATATGTTTGTATATGTTTACTACGAAAGCGCTTTATTTTTCCGGTAGTAAAAAAAGATTCTATAGAAAATTTTTATGGCGTTTTTTATCTGTTTTCTTCGTGCGATCGATGTAAATTTTCTTGAATTTATTCGCGCAAGTTAATAAGCGAAGTATACGAAGTTGACGACACGATTCCGACAAGTTTTCTTTTATCTACTCTATTCCTGCAATTTTGTTTTGCAATCGTACTGGATATTACTTTGCGAATAATTTGAGTTTACGATTTTGGAGTAAAGTAGAAAAATATCAATACAGCTTTATTATTCATTTAAAAAAAAGCATACGGAATCGAGATCTTTTTTATATTTTATGCGTATCCGTCGATCGTAAGTTCCGCGCAAACATTGCGTCCGTCTCGCCGATCCAACCCACAACAGTTTTATTTCGAAATTGCACCCCGCTTCATATAAATTCGTAAATAATTTGATTTTATGATTTTTTGTGAAAGATAGAAAAAATATTGCTGCGAAATATTGTTAAAGTTATCTCTCGAGAGAAAAGCGGAAACGAGATTTTTTTCGCATTTTCCCGTAGGAGCAATGGATTAATCTTAAGTTACCTAGTATTCGATGAAGCCGGTTGACACAATAGTCGATTGCGTGCCTTTTTATTAACATACGAGGCGAAACTGCAATCGCGATCGATATAGTGACATATGGCTGTGCTGAAAACCGCCCAGACGCCACTTTTTACACGTAATGGCTCGAATCCGACGTCGGTCGCACGTCTTTTTTTTTCTCTTTTTTTTTGTGATGCGAAGTGATATACGGGCGGCTGGTATCGGCGAGATGGGAATTTAATGCGAGCCCATATTTGAATGATACGACGCTTTTAAAGCGACTAGCGAGATGGTAATAGTCTTTCTTTATTATTACACCCCTACGCAGACAAGTTTCAGCCATTTTTCAAATGAATCGTTCCAAAGTCGCGCGAAAGTTTCCGACGATTCCAAATAATTTCTCCGGTTCGATTCAGACGCCAGGACCGACTCGTAAAATGATGTATGATCTATTATATTCTTATCTGCATGTGTAACGATGTATAAAATCATTAAATTATAGCTGCGCACAATGCATTTTTAATATAATTTAATAGGATCGATCAGTCACTCTCTTTTAATATATAATTGCTAATAGAAATTATTGAATTCTTAATACCGTCTTATCAATTACTACATTAATATCGTCTCAATTAAAGTCCAATTTGATTTCATATGAAATTTAATTGTAAAATTGATACTTCCGGCTCTTTTATATTTCTTTTCTTTGACATCACGTAAATTTTTTCACGTGGTAGCTCGAATCCAACGTCGGATATATTTATGCTCTTTGCGTAACGCATTTGGATTCGTAATAAAATAGGTGTCTTTATGTGAAAAGGGATCTGCACTTGAAGGTAATCTCAAAGAAGCCTCGTAAAGTCGTTTCTCGGTCATGGATGTCGCAAATTCTCGGATTCTCGCGAATTTCACACGGGGCGCCGTATATATAACGTCAAAACACGTTTTGAAAGGAGTACAACGAATCATTCGCGAGAGACGTAGCAAAGATTGAACGGAGTTAAGAGCCGCGCTCAGTCAGGATTAGATTGTCCCAGGATAATACGCCGCTCTTCTATCGAAACGATTTCCCGAACTATTGGAAGAAACCCTCTCGCAGCTTATATTCCTCCTTTGAGGAAGGGTGTGATCGTAATGCTGCCCGTTCCTCACATCCTCTTTCATCCTTACCGGAAGGATCATGCATTCAAGGATTTTGGGAGAGAAGCTTTTTATAAAAAAAGCCGCCATTAGTCATACTTTAAAATTATCGAATCCACCTTGAACATAATTAAACTTTACAGAGAATTTGCAGTGTATTGAATTTAAATTACTTTATTTTGAAATCTATGTTTAAAAGTCCATGTTGAAAAACAATCTTATCATGTATCACTCTGTAGTATTGTACTGTAAAACTGTTCTTCCAGTTCTTTGTAGATTTTTAAGGCTCCTGGTCCCGTAGCCGTGAACTCCGCGTTGACAGTGGCGACATGTTTTAAAATTATTATTATTAAAAAATTATTGAATATGTACAGTTGAATGCGCCTGTCGAAATACGCTTTAAAAAGTATAGATAAAGCAAATTTTTTAAGTTAAAGTGTGACATTTTTCTTTCAAAATTTAATTAATCAAATTATCAATATCGGAAATTGAATCAATATCTCAATATTTTTAATGATTTTGTACAATAAGCTCTTGTGAAAGAGGCCAATTTAAAGCGTTTTTTTTTTGTAAGAAATAAGAAAAAGTATAATCAAAACGGCAGGAACTCCGTTATCACTTTCTGTTTCAAGAAAAGATAAACTAATGTAATCTCATCTTGAAGTCGGCGCTTTTTATCCAAAGAACACATAAAGTCATTTTCCGCGCCCGGGAGAACACGTACACGTCGTCGGTGCAATACACCAGTGACGGACGAGGCCTCGGGGAAGTTAGTTTGCGCTGAGAAAGTGAAGGATACTTTACCGGTTCGTCGTTGATGGTCCAACGTAGATTGGCCTTAGGCACGGACGGCCAAGCGGTGCAGTTGGCAGTCACGTTCTCGCCGACGGAATAGTGCGAGGACAGGCCCGTGATTTCCGGTCCCCTCTCCGGAGGCGCTGTGAACGTAAATTTTCCGTGTGAGGACGTGGTGAAAGTTTCCCCATAAACCAGTTACTTTCCTCCGGTTAGACTCTATAAACTTTCGACTATTATCCGGAGTTCTCCACTCGAGCGTTGCTTCGTTCGTTCTGTCCTCGTCGGGAAGACGGCGGGATAGGAAAAGAGAGGGAGTCGAGAGAGGTTTTCTCACTTTGCAAGGCGCAACTCGCGGAAACGCGACGCGAGATGAATTTTCTGGGTCTCAACATTTCTCCCAACACCCTCACCTAACATCACTCCAACGTGACAGGCTACAATAAGACTGCGTTGCATATTGGCAACATGCATTCGTAAGTAAAAAAATTCGAAGCAAGATTGAAGTGAGTTCTTAATTCGTAAAGTACATTTTAAATGGTGCACTAATGAAAACTAAGAAAATTAAAGGAAATCATTTGTTATCTCGAAATTAATGTTATATTTCGCGACACAAGTTTCATATATTATAACAATATATATTATTTTCTAAATCTTTATAATTAAAAAAAAAAGTTTACGACTCTAAAGTTTGATGTAGCACTCAAATAGCAAACGGCAAATCGATATGAATGTAAAAGCACACACTAGCGCACACTAGCAATGTAAAATAGAAATAATGAAAATACTCAAAACTTTACAAATTTTAAATTGAGCTTTCGAACAATGCGTTGCGAGCTGCTAGCGATAAAATGGATGAGAGCTCTTTTTTATTAAACAAAATAAAATTCCAACAAATAAATCAAATTCAGATACATAATTTAACGAATTTGTGCACGTCGACGATGAATAGTGAATGATAGCGTAGCGTTAAAGTTTATTCCATATTTAATTTAACGATTCGGATTGTATACAAAAATATTCTAAGCAACATTTTACTTATATTTTCTTGTCTACACATTTTTTCTCGCGCGATGCGATCCGCGCGATTTAAATCTTTGTTTACTTTGCTGAAACAATTTCCCGGTCTTCCGGCCGGTGACGCACAAGCCCGGATTAAGTTTTGTACGTTTTCGACCACGCCGCTCTGCACGAAGGAAATTAATTTTCAATTAAGTACGGTACGTGAGACTTTCCTGTTCGTGATTAAACGAGGAGACGCATCGATTCTCGTAGATATTGACTCGTAGATATAGCAAATACTTTTGTCGTGGATCATAGAATGAATAATTATACTTTGGGCACGAAAGATTATGCAGATGAAAAAGCAAAGTCAATAATACAAGCGTTCACTTGTCGCAGTAAACAAAATTACGATGCAATAGCAACATTGATTAAAATGGTTGCTTTCACCGAAGCAAAAAATTACTAAATTTTATTCACATTTGACAGAGAGAGAGCCGCGTGTGTTTACAGCGGAACAATAGCCAGGGGCCATTATTCTCCGGACAATTAATCACTTGATGGACTAATAATTAGATTCAACGCGGTAACTGTTATGCTTTCGAAGTACCATCCCATGATTTGTAAATGAGGGCTCCATAGTTTATTATTTAAACAACAACACAGATTCTACTTATAGGCGTATTGCCTAAGGATTGTGTTCGACTTGGTTGAAAGATATTGAGACCAATTTCTTAGAAAAATATATTTTATTTTCCTCGTCAGAGAAGTAGAGTAATGTACAAGTTTTGTGTTTGATTTGATTAAGGGCGCCAGAGGCGCTTTCTCGGCAAGAGTGTAAGGCCGAGAATCAAAAGAAAAATTGACGGGCGCGGTAAGAAATTACCGGCCGCGTCTTAGTGTGTTGAACGGGTCCTAAAAAGGACGGTTCAACTGAGTTAGCTCGTTGCAGCCCCTTTCCCGGCGTCGGTGGAACTCCGTTCGGGAAGTGGTCTTCCGTCTGACAACTGCTCTCTGAGCAGGCTCTGAGCGGTGAAGTCTGTACTGCGATGGATCGAGTCTCTGGTGTGCTGGTGGTGGCAACCGTCTCGGCTCTCGGAATTACGGATTGCTCCGTGTACCGAGGAGAGAGAGGTCTCCGAATTCGGATGTCGCCTTGAGTGAGCGTGTCCCTTGGTGGTCGAGTCAACCGGACGCAGAACTCTAGTGGGATTAATTTCCACACTAGAGACTGAGGAGGTGACGGCGAAAGTGGAGTATCCGCGGGCCGCTTGGTTGAAGTGCGTGGCCGATGCTGGGACTCTGCTTTCTTTTTACACGCCTTGCGAGGCAGTGTGAGAAAAACGGCGAGACTATGTGTCTCTGTTATTCTGCCGAGGCAGAGTACGACTCAGTTCAAGGGCCCTGGGGAGAGCTCGCCTTGAAGCGAGTGAGTGAGTAAAGATCTGCAGAGCAGCTCTTTTATATCTCCTCGATCGAAGCTTGATCGCGAGAAGGTTCTTCACCGCCTGCGCAACCTGGCGGTGGGTCCGCAAGCTTGTAACTGGTAGAAGGCCTGCGGCGCGTAGCGGCGCCGCGATGTATTATACCGCGTCAGTGCAGCGGTGTGGCGGTGAGCCGCCACAA